ATTTACCATAGACCTTAAAAATGTATGTGATCACCACTAGCAGAGCACATTGGATTGTGGGAAAATCAATGTTTACCAACACAAATAATGCACAAACACAGTCTATGCATAAACTAAAATAAAATAAAACTTGGCTAGCTGTTGCAGATACTGTAAAGGGGGTAATTATTCACTGGGTTTTAATTTAGCTTATTTCGCTGACTGGAAAAATGCGCTAAATTAAAACACAGTGAATATGTAAAATTTAGCATAAAACACATTATCTAAATGACGAAACAGTGAATTTAAAACCCACTGAATATGCCTGAAATGGTAAATCAGTGAAATTTGAACCCAGTGAAAATTAGTCATTTTACAGTATATTTATACCTATGTATTTACATTGTTCTCCTGGCTTAATGTTCCTCTATTGTCATTTGCCTATGAGCTGTGACTAATTAGCATGTATTTTAATTAGCATAACAATGACTAGTATTTTTTTTTCATGTTTGCAGACCCCCTGGTGGTCATCCCAGGGAAGCACTGTCTTCCTATGGAAAGAGAGCTCGAACACAGAGTCCGCAGAATGCTAGAGATGGTAGTGGATTTCTGTATCCAGAACATAGATACCCAGTAACTGGTGCTGCACATTTTATGTATTCACACCAAACACATGCTCAACAGGTAGGTTTATTTATCATCGTAGAAAATCTTTTCCACATATAAACTGAGAACAGACTTCTCAAGGTAGAGTGAACCATGGAACTATAAACCCCAGGAAGAACAACAAAACTAAGAGAATTACAAAAATCTTTGTCTTAGTTTATCTTACAGTGCTTTCGCTTTTGTTTCCACAACATTAGTCATACTCCATGTTAGTTGCCGCCGATACGTCCGTATCAACCGCTTTGCTGGAAACGGAAAACTTGAAAAAAAAATGTCATATCTGCGCAGTAAAATATTTCGTTCACTACACATGCGCAAACAAGTCGGTCTACAGGGTGACCTTCAGTGTACCGGAAATCATGCAACGGGTTGGTGTTTTAGCGAGTTTTCATAATTTTCAATGTCGTTTTTAGATTACTTCTTGTTTTTTTCAACCCTCGAAAAAATAAGGTTCCGAAAGTTTGCGAAACATGAGGTTTGGTATGCTGTTTGTTGTCGAGATATCCCGACTTTGTATTTCCCTTCGATCGCCAGAAGTGGCAATGTGTTTTTTTTTCCGTTGAATGTCGTTCATTTATCAGTGTTTTTGTCTTGGCGCCATTGTTTTTTTATGCTATAACCGAAACAACTCGATCACGTGATCTCCCGAAGTCACCCGATTGACTCCGAAAATGACCGATAGTCGGAGATAAACGTTCATTTGCGTAAATCAGCTTATTTTTTAATGCGACGAAATAAACAGTCAAAATAAACATTCGACATCGCGGCAACTATCATAGTTCAAAGGAAACGAAGTGGTTGTTCTTCCTGGGGTTTATAGTTCCATGAGTGAACCAAGTAAGTATTGGTCACCAAATCCAGAAGGAGAATAACGCGAGGAGCACTTGTAACTAAGATGTTTATTGCTCAACTGCTAGGCCTGGAACTGAGCCTAAGATGTTCCATACAAAGTATCAATATCATTATGCAAATAACTAAACCAAACGTCATAGCCTCAAATCATCACACCAAATAATAACAATGTTTTAGTATTATGCCTGTGAGCTGTGACATTTGAAACAAAACTACAGTGACACAAACATTCTTGAGAACCCATGCGCATCTCATCTCAACTAAATTTATTACCCATTTTGTAGCAGTAAGGCTGACTGTTTGTCAATGTATTTTTCATTTTGTTTCACTTTTGACTGATTGGTGGTCATTTTAGTCTTGAAAATCAACATTTGAACATGTCATTAACCGTTTCTTAGACATGCCTTGCCTAATTTTATTCAGACATTACCTATTGTGGGTGACTGTACATTTGGTTTTGCTATTTGAATAAACATGGCCGACTGGTAGCAATATTTTTCCTCATGTGTTTCTCATTTACTTAAAATTTGTTACATAGGCTAGACATAATGAATATTTTCTTCAAGTATTTTGTGATTTTGTTGAAACATAGAGTTCTAGAAAAATACTCTTAAATTTCCATCATAGACTATGTTTCCATTCACACATAATCATCCATTTATTGTTTCCTGTTTAGCTCATTAATCACTATAAAAAAAAGTGCCAACAATTTTCAATTACTTGTTTTTGTAGGAACTTCATCATGATTATCGTGACCACCATGCACACCATACTTACGGTGGTAATCCTTCCCAGCAGCCTCAGTTCAGAAGACGACCATCACTCCTTTCGGAGTTTGGACACCCACCTCCTGACAGGGACAGGTAAGATGCCCAAACATTCCTAACCTTTATGCTGTTGATGGTGCTAGTCATACTTGTCTTCTAAGAATCAATGAGAAAAATTGCCCTGAATTAACTGTTTTAAGTCCAACACCAGTTCGCTAAGCCAAAATGATGCACCATGAGCACAACATAATTTTCTGTGTCGCAACTACTAGTAGTTGTGTCAATTCGTTAGCGCATCATTGACACAATAGAAAAAAAACATTGATATGTGATCTTGAAA